ATATTCGACTATCGAATATTATTCGAAAATGAAAATTTCGAATCGAATAATATTCGAATATCGAATATCATTCGTTATTCGAATTTCGAATATTATTCGGTTCTCGAATGTTATTCGATTTTCGAATATCATTCAATTTTCGAATACTGATCGAATAATTTCCGTCATTGAGACTGCCTATGAAAGTCCAAAACATTCAAAAATAAATTGTTTCATGTAAGCGAATGGACACTTTCTTACGTTACCAATTACAATGGAAAAAAGATTTAGTCGTGACGTGAAGAAACTTAGGAAACTAAAAGCTACTCCTGTGAAGGTTTTGAAGAGATTTTTCGTGCTTCAAAGAAAATTATATACCTCCCTGAGAGTTGCGATTGGATATACAGCGTCTCAACAGCATGTAGATCTGTAGGCTGACATCAACTTACAAGGGAAGGATACTCGGTCACCGTGGCCATTTGGGATGCGATGTGTACTGTAAGGTGCATCTCGGAACGCTAATTCCAAATCTGTGCTCGATATCTGCGAAACGATCTTCTGAAGGAAGTTATGAACTTTTTTTCGTACAAAATTTGAGTAGTTAGTGTGGTCAAAATCACCTAACTTGTTCTAGGTTATCTTTTAAAGCTATTTATTTATTTATTTATTTATTTGATACGCACAAGGCGTGCCCAATACACAGAACGAAGCATCACACTAAACAAATAGGGACAAAAAAGAACAAAAACAGGCAAACACCCCACTGAATCAGCTCAAGTCCAGCCCGCAAAATATTTTCTAGGGATGGAAAGGGAGTGAGCTTGTCTAGACTAATATGAAGTCATCACATGTATAGAGGTTCGATGGAGTCTGTCTCATGCCCCCTGCTTTTAGCAAAAATGCTCTTATTCAAACATAAGCAAATGTATATGTTGGAAGCAGGTGTATTGGTAGTAATATTGGTAAAACCCGCCCAACCAAACTCTGGGGAGAGAGCAGAACTCCGGAAGAGGTTGCACAATGCAGAAGTTTCAAGCCCAAACAAGCTAACCCAAGAATGGAAATGATGAGATGAGCCAGACCCAAACTAACGGGTGAGGTATAAAGTTGAAAAAAAAAGTCAACACAACGAATGGCAATGGTTAAACCAAGGTCCAATGATTTGGTGGAATCTGATCCCTAAAATCCAACGCAAGACATTCATTTATTCGCATCCCTTCGATCATAGTCAGCCCAGAGTGAACACCAAACTGAGACAGGCGGAGTCGCGTGCCATAGCACCGTCAAACGAAAAGGACAGAGACATGCACAGCACAAAAGCAAGGATCTAGAAAAAGGAATTTGAGAGATGAAAAATAAAGTAGAAGCAAAAAGTGCAATTAAAATCAAGCCTCAGAACCAAGCGTAGGAGAACCATAACAACCATAAACCCTAAAATCCTGAACCCTAAAAAAAAACTGAACACAACATTGAAAACGCAACGCAATCAAAGAGAAGTATCACTGCTCAAAAGTTGGGTCAAATCAGCTTTTTTAAAATTTTTTCTTGAAGGCTTCACCGCTACGCGCTGACACAATATCAACGGGTAAGCGCTGAAGCCATCTTGCTGCCTTTTTGTCCGCTCTGACTGTTCCATTCGTTTACAACCTTTTTTCTTTCCATTTTGCACTTTAAGCTCTCTATTTTTGATTCTGCTTGGTAGCAACTCTTTCAGCTGCTTATTTTTCGTTCGATTTTGTTTTGTCCTCATCCGGTTACCTTCTACTGGGTTGGAATCGCTATCGCTTGCGCCTTTTTGTATTGATTTTCTTGGCCTTTGACTATATTGCTTTCTATAGATCGTGATCATGCCTCCCAAAGCCTCTCGTTCATCTCGTAGGGGTGTTTCTAGCTCTGCATCGACTCCTGCTCCTATTGTTGGCATGCAAAGTGAGGTCAACCGTGCTGACTGTTCTAATATGTCAGCCTCAGACCTTTTGCTGCATATCAAGGATAGGAACAAGGATCCAGTGATCGATCAATTGCTAGACATCCTTTCGCAGAGACTCCAGAATGCGGTCTCTGGTGAACTTGAGGTTGAGAAACGATCGCGCACAATTGTCATAAGTGGGGTACAAGAGTCATCGAATGATCTCCGCGCATCAGAGCGGGCTAGGGACCTTAGGAGTAGGGTGGACGATATCATGGACGTTCTTGATATTGACTGCTGCCCAAGCGAAATCCTTCGCATTGGGAAGGCATCGCCCGACCGTCCTCGGCTAGTTAAGGTCATTTTTCCGTCAACTTACTATTGGCAAAAAGCGCTAGCAAATTCTTATCGGCTTCGGAACTCACCCTTCTCCAATATTTTCATCCGTAAAAGTACGACTAGCGAGGAACGGAGGGTCGAATACGAACTTAGGCAGCAGGCCAAGGAACTCAATGCTGGGAAACCCGAGAAGGAGTGGGTCGTTTATCGCGGCCAACTCAAGCGTATCTCGGAGCTTCCAAGTAGGAGTTCGGTAAACTAATGATCACGCACGGGAACCCTGGAATACTGAAATGTGTTTTACTGAATGCACGTAGTATTGTGAATAAATTGCATCATTTGCATTCGTTTCTGATAAATACTAAACCTGATCTCGTGTTTCTGACTGAAACCTGGCTTAAGCCAAAGATACACGACTCTGAGCTGATTGGTGATCTGCCATATTCGATATTTCGTACTGACAGACCGAAGCGAAAAGGTGGTGGTGTACATTTTATCAATTGACGACTGCAATGCATCATGAACTGTGTCAAAATTATCTTCATCATAAGATGCATATATCTTTGTATCGTCTGCGTAGATTTGTGCGCGTACATCCATTGTTTTTAAAGTATTAGGTAGGTCCAGAGTGTATACCAAAAATAACAAAGGAGATAGGACAGCTCCCTGAAGAACTCCACTGGGACAGGGAAATTTTGTTGAATATTTATGACCAATCTTTACCGTCATGCATCTATTGCTCAAGTAAGACTCGAACCAAGTTAATAGGTTTCCCGAAATTCCGATATTCTCTAGCTTGCAAAGAAGCAAACGATGAGGTATTCTATCAAAAGCCTTGGAAAGGTCGAAGTATACAATATCCACAGATTTCCTCAAACTCAAGGCTACCTTCCAATCAAAAACAGCTTCAGTAAGATTAGTTGCAGTTGACTTGCCTGGCACAAAGCCATGGTGCTCGGGCGAAACAGGATGGAACCTCTCCAACCAAAGTAGTAATTTACTTCTGATAATTCTCTCCATAATCTTGATGGGAACAGAGTTATGGCTAATGGGGCGAAAATCGGCAACGCTTTCAGCTGCGGAAGTTTTAGGCACAACTGTAACAATGGCTTCCTTCCAAAGAGAAGGAATCTCACCGAAGTATAAGGAAAGATTGAATATATCAGCAAGCGGTTTGGCGAGAGTATCTGCACACATTTTGTAGAGTATCTGAGGGATGCCATCGTACGGCTCCATACACGAAGGTTTTAGAGACCTCAGGACTCTTCTAACTTTCGCAGGGTGAAAATAAACAGAATTCAATTTGTTTTGAGGAGGATGGGAGGAGGGGACGGTGATACTCAAAGGATTCGCAAACACAGTGGCAAAGTATTCACCCAAGGCCTCTGCTTTACTAGAACCATTACAGCAAGTACAACCCAAAGAGTCTTTCAACACCGGGAGGCTAACTTTACTTTGTAACTTGTGGTGAATGTATCTAAACAAATTTCTCATAGAAGATTTCTTCGATAAGCGTCGCTCATGATTTGCTAAAAATTTTTTGAGGTGCAGGTCAGTATCAGCACAGACTTTCTTATACAGGGGGCTAGACAGAGGTGAATCTAAAACACAAAATAAGCGACACTTCTGTTCAATAAGGGAACGAATATGAGCAGGATAAATCAAGCCAGAGGTGCAATTAATCTTCATAGTACCAAACAATGCCATTCCAGTATAGATGACTTGGCAGAATCTGAGATACAAGTCATCAACATTGCGGTAATTATCAAACAGTGCATGCCAGTCAACTTCAGATAAATACTTGTTGAGGGAATCGTAGTCAAAGTGCACAAAGTCGGGTGTAGGATAAGATGGGACAAGTCGAAAGTTGTCGTTATACTCAAATGTAACGATGCTATGATCTGCAGAAGCCAAAGGTGGATAGAGTCTGACATTGTGAACGTTTTCCGAAGTGGACAATATAATGTCCAGAATATTATCAGCGTGGGTTGGATATAGGACATGCTGCTTCAATTCAGCGTTGATGAAGAAGTCAAGGAATGGTTTAGATTCAGGGCTGATGTGCTTCATATTGAACCAATCAATATGCAGATTGAAATCACCCACAATAAGTGTACTATTTCCATCAGAAGATAAATTGGTGAGAAGCTCAATCAGCTGTTTATCATCACCCTGCGTGGAGTTAGGTGGACGATACACGATTACGAACTTGACAGTATTCAAACTCGATGAACAGAAAAGTTCTACAATTAATAAATCAGAACTCGAAACAGTGAATCTAGTCACTTGTTTGATGTAGAAGCAACCTTTAACAAGGCAAATATTTGATGGACATCGAATGATCGAATAAGTGACCCTCGAACATTCGACTATCGAAGAATATTCGAAAGTTGAGATTTTCGAATATTCGACTACTTTCGAATTTTATTCGAAATTTCAGATTTTCGAATATTCGACTTTTCAAATCATTCGCATTCGAATGATTTATTCGAATGATCGAATAATTATTCGATTCGGTCCCAAGTATAGTACCAACCCGCTATGTTCCCTATTGCTTAGACATTGGAGTAGGAGACCCAGAACGCCGTATAAGGCCTCTCATCACAGGTACTCTCCCCTCCAATGTACGTTGTCTAGGGACTAGGGGGTTTCGTGCGGCTCTGTTTCCAAACCGCCTCGCGTGAGCTCTTCGCGTGCTCTCTAATCATTTTTCCACGCTTGGTTAACGATTTGGAATCACCCAGACTCGTGGAGGAGAAAAACATCAGGCAGCATGCTTGCGAACGAGGTGCAGAGCCTAGGGAGGATTATGCGCGAAGCCCGAAACGCACGAGCCCTAATCAGTCCTTATGATACAGAAGGCACATAGATACGGGTCTAAGTTGGACGGCCGCTCTGACTTTGGCGGCGACACGATTTTTTTCACAAATTGCAAACGTTATTCCTAATCTTCTTTAACTAATTGTTGCTCACTCATGCTCCTATCATCAGGCTAACAAATTCAACGACAATGTCAACAAGCGTTACTATCGCGAGGCTTTGGGCAATACAACAACAGCTAGAGTTTATTCATTGGCGGAACGGTATCAAATCGCGGAGAACATTAGATTTTGTCGGGTAGGTTTCTGAAAAAGGTGTAAAACTAGTATGAGTTTGTCTTTTTGCTATCTTTCCACTTTTCAAATGTGACGCAGTCAATTTTTGGCTTTATTATGATGTTAATTATAATTTGAGCAACTCATCTTCTTGAGTTTGATACAAAGAAACGGAGCTTTTTCAAAAACTGCTAAAATTCTAGATATTGAGCTTAAACAAGTTGAACTACAAACTGGTCATATAGGTTGGCTTGAAAGTTCTGGGACATTTTCAGACAAGATCTGCTGTTTCTCAAAACTTAATGTATATACATCCGGTAGAGGCACCATTCGATAGAGCAAAGCAAGGTCTACATGATGGTATGCAAAACTTCGCACCAGCTTTAACCCAACGTAAGTTTGCATCCAAAATCTGACAATCTGACATCTTTGTGAGTCGCACTGAAATTCAATAATTGCGAGAAATTAATATCTTTGTTCAAACAAATCCTACGGATTTCCAACTTGCTCACGAAAATTGCACACCACATTAGACACTCATCTGTATCGTTCCTGTATTTTTTCTTTATCTGGAAATCGAGAAAACGAAAATTCTCAAGATTTAACAAAAACGAAGCTAGGATGTTTCCATTCATGTAATTGTATTCTACAATCCCTTATAAGTATAACCGTAAATTTTTAGCTTTTCGTAAGCCCTATTAGTCGAGAAGTATTGATTTTAGCATGGAACACCCGAGTGAGGAAAGCAATTCGGTAATTTCCGGGAACAGGGCCTGTGGAAAGCTGGAAATTCAAGGTTATGCTTCTACAGGCTTGTACTATACGATTACATGAGTGGGAACAACGTAGCTTCGTTTTTGTATAAGCAGGAAGACTTCCTTTTCTCGATTTCCAGATGAGGAAAAAATCCAGGAACGGTACATATGAATGTCTAATGTGGTGTACAAATATTTGTGAGCAAGTTGGAGATCCGTAGGATTTTTTAAGATATGAATTTTTCGCGATTTTTTGAATTTCAGTACGACTCAGGTTTTGGGTGCAAACTTCGGTGGGTCGAAGCTGGTGCGAACTTTTGCATGCCATCTTGTAGAGCTTGCTTTGTTCTGTGGTACCTCTATCGGATGTGTATGCATTAATTTTTGAGAAATAGCAGATCTCGTCTGAAAATGTCCCAGAACTTTCGAGCCAACCTAATATATCGCTTACTAACTCAACAAGTTTAGTCAAAAGTCACGGTTTGAAGACAAATTGAGGTTTGACGTAATTAGGAACTTGAACAGCGTCGCGATATGCAACAGATGCGCACATTTGTCACCAACTACGACGCTAATTCCGAATTTTTATGGGTCTTGCATCGTGGAGAAATTTTCTCCTGCTAAACTTGAGTACTGAATTATATTAAAAATTGTTATAAACCTTACAAAAAAGACACTATTGCAAGATCTTCTCGCACGGAAGGCTGAATATTGCTCTAAACCAGGTCCCAACTAAACCTACATCTGAGGTTTCCGCCTCATTGCCGTACGCTTGCCTCGAATCTCATATACGTATTTCATAATCTACATCATGCCAAAATTTAAGTAATCCACTTTCAATGAGGAAAAAAATATGAGAGAAGTTGCAATATGTACTTTCCAACGCGGTTGCAAAAGACCCTCTTATACAAGACACCAAATTGCCAAAGTGTTGCAGAAAGCATGAAATGATTCATAATAGACGCAGTATAGTGATTTGCTTTGACTTCTTTTAATTTTTTACGTGTTCCGCATCTTATATATAAAGCTGAATGTCTGTTTGTATGTATGTATGTCTGTCTGTCTGTATGTGTGTACGTATGTTCCGAATAGAAAATTCCATTTCTGAACCGATCCGGACCAAACTTGGCACACATACACTTCGGGCCCCGGCGGGTGTCATAGGCTACTTTTCGTATCGATCGATATCGATTTTATCGATTTTTTGCAAAATTCGAGCTACGGGGCTGGGAGTTGGCACGGGGGGTAAGTGAGCATGGGGATTCCGAATACAATATTAGTTTTTAAAATCGTGCATTACTTTTATCGATTTTATCGATTTTTTTGCAAAATTTGAGCTACGGGGCTGGGATTTGGCACAGGGGGGTAATCGAGCATGCTGATCACCCCACGGGGGTGATCAGCATGCTCGATTACCCCCCTGTGCCAAATCCCAGCCCCGTAGCTCAAAAAAAATATACAAAAAAAATACAGCAAATATATATAATGAAGGCATGTATGCGTATTTTATCGGCTGACCAAATAGGAGGTTTGTTGAATTTTCTTTGAACTGGGATCCAATTATTGAGGCACTCAATGTCTCATCAAATTGTACCCCAAACATTATTCAGCTGCGGTTGTAGCAGTAGAATCGCTTTTGCATTAGCATAATGATTTTGACCGTAATTTATAGCATAGAAATTAGCTGAACTACCCTGTTTTTTTGGGTAAAGCCACATGTGCATAGGCTTTGACCATACTTTACCCGTGTTACTCATGTTACCAGTGTTATAGTGTCTAGTGTTACTAGTGTTACTCTCATGTTACTGACCAGTTAATGAGATTGCGTTTTAGAATGAAACAATGTGTGATCATTTCCAAAAGCAGTAAAAGCGGTAACACTAGTAGCATTAGTAACAATAGTAACACTAGTAACACTTGTAACACGGTTAACACGAGTAACACTGATAACACCGGTAACACTAGTAACATAGTAATCCTGAACACCGGTAACACGGTAGCATGGGTAAAATATGGCCAAAGCCATATGCATCTGTGCCATCATTTAATTGTTGACTGATTATAAAGTTGGTCATTCAGCTACGCTTAGAGAGTTGTGGAAGTATTTGCTGATAGAATCAAATCATAGATTTCAGTTCGTTGCTAGAGCCGTCGCTTGGGTTGGAATATGGAACATTCTTGCTGCCGCTATGTTGTTTACGGGAAACCTCAAGATGACAATTTTTGCGCGAAATGTCGCTATGATAGGCTATAACTATATACACCTAATGTGAGTTGGCATCTTCGTAAATGTGTCTTGTTGCTCGATATCTGTTGTCATCAAAGTTTTGCGTTGTATTCTTACTTGCACGTGTTTTGTTTAGGGAGCCTGATATGTAGAAAAGCATTTGTGAAACAATTATTTTGAAGGCCAAATTCCGTTTGCACCTAGTCGCGCCGAGTGCTGCAAACTGCTCAAAGTAGGCAAAAATAGGCCGTGTCACTCTGTAACGATCGTGGGAGCCCACGAGCTATGACTGCTCCCTGGCGTCGCATGCGAAAAATTGCCTTGTAATGCAAGTTTCTTAATTCATCCAATTGTTATCAAGGTTCTTCCAAAGTCTGAAAGGAAATTTTGAAGTAGACAAGAACCACGGTTTGAAGATCCGATTGTTTTAGCAACTATCGTAGGCTATGGAACACTTACTGCCAGAAAGAGGAAGAAATTTTGGATTGCTGTTCAAAGCGTTCGTCTATCTTGATTCTGAGTGGTTTGGGCATAGGTCTGAAAAACGACACGAACTTTCGGACCGAGCTGATATGGATGAGTGGCCCTAGCCAGTGCTCATGCGATTTCAATTAAGTTGACTTCTATGACGTAGCTTCGAACTAAGGCAATGGACCATAGAAACTGCTCAGATAATCGCCGGAGGCAGGCGCCCATGCGATTTATGGGCGGGCGGGCACCGGAAATATAGTTCGCTAATTTCTTGCGGTCCGCTTGCAGATATTTGGAAGAGTTTTAGCAAAATTCTAGACTAATGCTTGGAGAACAATCGCGGTTTCCTTATAGATTAGCTGCGGCGCAGTGGCCGCATTCTCGCAGACTTTTCGCGAGAATATGCAAAATTTTCGGGGGCCACACGGTCCTTTGTGGAGGACCGCGCAGCCTCCAGGTAGTTTGAGGTACTTCCGCTGAGGGGAAGTACCTCAAACTTAAGTAACTAAACCAACGGTGACACCTCTGCCACACAGTGTCTTACCTGTGCTCGACGTAAGCCCGAAACTGCGAAAAAGAGTTTGAGCGCCTGCTAAAAGTTCGGCCAGCGTTTGCTGAAAGAGATTATTCGACGAGAGCCTGCAGAAAAGTCTGTGTTGCTGCCCGCTGGCAGAACATTAGACAGTAAAGGAAGTACCGCTCGCTGAAGGTTTGGCCACGCCCCAAAATTCTGCTGACCGCCTGCCCCCGGCGATTATCTGAATAGGTATCTTCCGTTGAGAGAAAGTACCACAAAGTGTAATAAAACCATCGATCACCTCTGCAACATAGAGTTTCACCTTTGCTCGGCGTACGCCCGAAGCTGCGTAACAAGAGTCAGAGCGCTTGCTGAAAATTTGGCCAGCGCTTGCTGAAAGAAATCATTTGACGAGCGCCTGCAGAAAATGCAGTATTGCTGCCCGCTGGCAGAATATGCGACCGTAAAAAAGTGCCATCCGTTGAAGGTTTGGCCACGCCCCAAAACTCTGCTGCCGCCTGCAGAAAAGCGCGAATTCGCGGACCGCCTGCCCCCGGCGATTATCTGAGACTAACTATACTGCCACCATCTCAGATAATCGCCAGGGGCAGGCGGTCCGCAAACTCGCGCTTTTCTGCAGGCGGTCAGCAGGATTTCGGGGCGTGGCCAAATCTTCAGCGGGCGGTATTTGCGTTTTCTGCAAGCGGGCATCAATACAAAATTTTCTGCAAGCGCTCGTCAAACAATCTCTTTCAGCGAGCGGTGGCCAAACTTTCAGCAGGCGCTCAAACTCTTTTTACGCAGTTTCGGGCGTACGCCGAGAAAAGATGGGACTCTATGTGGCAGAGGTGCCATCGATGGTTTTATTACCCAAGTTTGGGGTACTTTCTTTCAGCGGAAAGTACCTGAGGGCTGTGCGGTCCTTCAAAAAGGACCGTGCGGCTCTCAACAATTTTGCATGTTCTCGCGGAAAATCCGCGAGAACGCGGCCACTGTGCCGCAACTTATGTATAGAAAAACCGCGATAGATCTTCGAGCGTTCATCTAAAAATTGGCCAAAATTATTCCAAATTTCTGCAAGCGGACCACAAAAAATCAGCGAACTATTTTTCCGGTGCCCGCTTGCTCAAAATTCGCATGGCCGCTTGCCCCCGGCGATTATCTGAGATCCTGTTCTAACAAAGACTGCAGAAATGGTGCGATTACACAAAGCAACGCTGAGGACAACTGCTATGAGATCTGTGATTTGGAAAGAAGAGCGACTTATGGGACAAATCTAGGCTTGGAGCTAAAAAGCGAAATTGGAATTCGCTAACTATAAGACTTTGCATAGGTGGCCAATTTGACATGCCGAACGCGACCTTAATTGATCTGCCTTTGCGGAAAGTAAACCAAATTTTGCACACTCGTCATGAGGCCAACGTGCTCAGCTCCAAAATTTTGTGCAATCACACAGCATTCTTTTACAAGCCATCGCTGGATATTAAGGCTACTGCATGACGAAGGCGCAGAAGCGGTATTAGTTGAGCGGGCGCAAGCGCGAAGCGCGCAATCCTCACCGCCTCATGCGCTCAGCGGCTAGTAAAGCCGCGTTCGCGCCTGAAGGTTTTGCGCCTCCGCCATGCAGCAACCGACGCAGATAATCGCCGGGGGCAGACGGTCCGCAAGCTCGCGCTTTTCTGCAAGCGGTCAGCAGAATTTTGGGGTTGGCCAAACCTTCAGCGAGCACACTTCCGTCTTCTGCCAGCGGGCAGCAATACAAAAATTTTTGCAAGCGCCCGTCAAACAATCCCTTTCAACGATCGCGGGCCAAACTTTCAGTAGGCGCTCGGACTCTTTTAACGCACTTTCGAGCGTACGCCGAGCAAAGCATTCATAACAGAGGCGTCATCGATGGTTCAGTTACCCGAGTTTGGGGTACTTTTTTTCAGCGGGAAGTACCTACGGGCGGTCCTTTACAAGGAACCGTGCGGCCCACAATAATTTTGCATGTTCTCGCGGAAGGTCCGCGAGAATGGCCACTGCAACCGCGACTGTTCTCTGAGCGTTCCTCTAAAAATTGACCCACAATCTTTCAAATCCAAGCAGATCGCAAGAAATTGAAATCAGCTTTATTTTTCCGGTGCCCGCTTGCCCATAAATCGCCTGCATCCGGCGATTATCTGAGTATATGTGTGCAAAGTTTGGTCCGGACCGCTTCAGAAATAAAAATTTCTATTTGAAACATACGTACAAACAGACATACATACATACATACATACAGAGAGACAAACAGACAATCAGCTTTATATGTAGGATAATACTGTTTCTTAACCCTTTCGGACCTGGTGGTGGCAATTGCCACCATCAATTCAGAGATCTACTATACTGGCGCAAGAACATCATTTCACTACTCATTGCTCTCAAACGCTTCATATAGCCTTTGCCTTCCAAATGTAGCTTCGAGACCGGGTGTTCATTTGCTTCTCTGTGAATAGCATGTACATTTCTGTAAACAAGTGGATTTCAACCAATCAATAATTTGCGCCGGCTTGAGCACCGTTTCAATATCTCATTTATTAGCCAAAAAATATTCATAATATTATCATAATGTTTTAGTACGACGATGGTGAGTAAATGTAACTGTTAACTGTTTGCGGGTCCACATGTTTCGCGGGAGATTTGAAAACCCAAAATAAACGCAAAACCAAAAAATTGAAAAATCAAAAAGAAATAGTTCATAAGGTTAAGCAGACTCCAAACTCCGCTATAATGTTATTCATATGGTAATAAGTAAAAAACACTAGGAGAGAGGCTTCTCGGCTCACTCGCAAAAACTCAGGTCCGAAAGGGTTAACGGTGAGACTATGAGGCTAACGTATACGGCATCAGGATTATACGTAGGTTGACGTATAATCCTGATGCCAATCGGGTCTCACTCAATGTTTTTCCTAAGAGGTACTTAAAATAACATCATCACACCCCTCTATCTAGTGGAGCTGTGACTAAGTCACACTTCCACCATAAAGAGAATTTTGAAGAGCAATTTCGTAAACGGGCAAAGTATTCCACGACTGTGTGTAACAACTCAGTTTCGGAAATATCACTTTTCGGCGGTTTTGAAGGTAACTTTCAACTCGTATGCTGACAAAAAATAAAGCGTATTATGAGAGAAAGACGCGTAACATGCAGGCAGGTACCTGCCCTAAATGCTCGAGGAGATACTGCATTGAACGTTCTTTCGAATTTATAGGGTCATTGATACCAACAATAATCAGGAAACGAGGAGCCAGGCAAGAAAATTGAACAAAAATTAGAACTCGTAGAATGAAGACTATGGGGACCTTTAGGTACTGCCGTCTATTGTAGAGGTGGCTCAAAGCCGCACGCCTGCGTGGGATACATACAGAAGATGGGCCAGTCGTGATTAAGCAGCTTGAAGACAAGGTTAAAAACGGCTTTGCATATGGGAAAAGTTTCTGTGTGCCGTGGAGGTGGATACGATATGACGCAACCGGAGATTATCTTGAATAAATCCCACTTCGCACCTAGTTGTTGAGTCTTTTTTGCTCATTTCCATTGATTTCTGTTGAATGAATGAAAGGATCTCTTTCGGTCTTATTTGCTTGGCGAATCCTTACAGCATTCACTTAACAACCTCTGCGCAATTCCATTTTCTTGATTTAATTATGCTTTCCGAAGGTTATTTTCAGTTATGGATTTGTCATGGTTTTTGTTATGTACCGGTCTGATCATCGATGGAGGAAGGAGATTGGAAAGCTTACTAAAAGCGTAGGTTGCAGGTGTTTGAACTGCGAACGAACTTGATGGAAAGTTTCAGTGCTGCGCTACAAAAACGCACTCTGAATTTACAAGCGTTAAGTCAACATTTGGAAAAGAAACTTGTGTGGATAAACGTCAACATGCAGTATGTTATTTCAATATGCTTAACAGAGATTGGGAACGCGAAGCGCCCACAACTCGCCATTGAAATTTTGTTCAAGACTTGTATATACCTGCGGTAATTTTTTCAAAATTATATTTCCGAATTTCTAATTATCCAATTCCAGTATCCTTTTTTGAATGAAGGAGTTTTTGTAGCCTTCGAAACGCAGTAGATCTTGTACTAATAGTTGATCTTGTGTCTGCTATCTAGGATAAACTCTGTTGCTGGACTGAGAAGGTCATTAGCAAGGGAAATGTACTCTTAGTCTGGCCTGAGAATGGATCATAATAAAGAATTGTTAGCGCAGTTCAGAGTTCATGTCATTTACTTCTTTCAAATACGTACTATTTGTTTCCAGGAGTCTTTAAAGCTCCATGGGAAGTTAAAGGTGAAACAAAAAGGGAGAAATGGATCGCGAGAATACAGCATTTACATGAGAGAGTCTGCAAAGACCTAAGTATCCTAATTAGACAACGTCAAGGAGTGAATTGTGAAACTTGGAGGGCTGGCAATTTGGAAGGAAGTGGGTAGTGTAAAGAGTTAATGCACTTACATGAAAGAGTTCTGGTGTAGGTCTTTCATGCGCCTCAATCCACTGGGAGATGATGGTGAAAGTTGAGGGAGCAGAAGTAACGAGGGAGAAGGGCGATTTGTGGGAAGTGAGGCACTAATTTGAAAGAGTTTTGAGAGAGGAGTCTTTGACACCCCATTCGAAAAGCTTTGAGTATGGGATTTTGAGGTTTCGAGGTAGGAAAGTTGAGGGGTACTATCTACTAAATAGCTGTAGGTAATTTGTTAAATAGTGTGGAATACTGACGTGCAAAAGTTGAGGGCAGGGGAAGTTTTTTGACTTTAGAAATGGAAAAAAAGTGGTTACCGTTAAATTCATATCCTACTCAGGGAACCTAGAAATTAAAAAATTAGCACTCCTGCAGGAAGTCTTGAGGAATATTTGAGGTCTGGCAGCATCGAGACCAAAGTGGATTGAGAAGTTGTTTTACTTGCTCTATAAATTGTGGTATACATGAAGTACGACTAAATGAGATGCTTAAATTTTGCATCACATTTCATTTGCAAATATCCACACTTTTCTAACAGACAACAGTTTGTACGATATTGGGTCAGCCCAAAAGTGATTTCGCTTTTTTGTGGAAGCGCCACATTCCGCGAAACAAAGGTCTACAAAAGTTCTCTGTAGCATTCGATGAAAATTTCATGCTCTTACAAACGATTATCTTTATTGCAGCTCATCAAACGAGCTCTCAAAAGTCAATAAAAACTGGGACCCAAGGTTTTTGCCATAATGAAATTCCGCTATTTTTCTAAATTTTTGTACTGATTCCGAAGAAGTCCGAGTAATAGATAAATGAAACCAACTATAGGATCCAAAACAATTCTTTCCTCTTCCAAATCTTAATTTCCAAAAATTTCAAAATTTCCTTTTTTGAGGGTGGAGGACTACATGTCGCCCTGGGGCAACCCCGCGCTCATCTGCAACGAATACGCACCTTTTCATGCGCATGGGGATACGTTTTTGCAGGAAGTCCACGCGCGGCCCTCCTACATTTCGGCAATATACAGTCCTCTACCCCTTTTTTGATGCTATCAAATTCCATGTATGGTCTTGATCCTAGAACATCAACAAACGAGCAACTCGAGTGTTATTTGATGCATCATTTTCATTTCAAAGAGAAGGTTTCCGTTCCTTATTCGTAAAGACTTAAATCAACAATATTCATGTTTCTGAAGGCGCCGGAAAATTCAAGATTTGATATTTCGCTTCCACCCCCTGAACGCTCATCTATTCTGTAAAGTTAGTGCTGAACCACAATCGACTTTTGAAACTATAAAAAGTCGAAAAATCTGAAGAAATAAACGCTTCGAAATTCTGATGATTTTTTGAGACCAGTTTGTTGAATCATTATAGGAAGGCTTGCTTTGGGCTTGCTCAAGAAAGCGAAATCACTTTTGGGACTAATATATGTCACATTTAAACATTTGTCAGAATGCTCGAAAACGAGTAGTATTGCAAGCAAAAATGCCCAAAAGGTCACAAAATATTTTTCCAACAGTTCACCTAAAAAGCCTTAGCACTCAGTAAGAACAACACGTTTACGTATAATAGTCGAACAATCAGGTGAGCAAAGGGTAGGCTAATCTTTCGAACACCTGTTAATCTGGGGCACACTTTAATATTTACGCTACGAAATCGTGTTGACTCAGGTTGGTGATGACCCTGTTTTAACTTGTTTAAACTGGAAATGAGCCTGAATTGTTATGGTTAAAGGCGGTGTCTCATAAAACTGAGGTAGTGCGGGCCCCCACATATTTTTTTAGAGGACCCCTGGATAGGCGACCGCCTAAAGTTCGACTCGATCCGGGCGCTCCTATGCCGAGAAGTTTGGCCTCAAAGTGGCCCGCAAAGCGCCATTTGGCCCGCACGACCAACGTCCCGGCCCTCCAATTGGCCCTCCACCCCATAGTGTCACTGACGATATAAAGACTTGGCTGAGAAGGCACAACTCGTCCGCTCTGCTTCTACAACGCCTTCAAAAACGAGTTCGTACATTTTATGCGATTTTGGACTCGCATTAAGTTAGACAGGAGGAAAAGGCTTACACTATGCAGAAATCTCGACAACCAAATTTTGGTGAGACGCTGCCCTTAAGTTAGCCGGCTTTTGGTCTCCGCTACAAATATTTTCATCTCCAGTCACTGAACGTCACCGGAGATAGGATGAACAAGTAATTTAACACATTACGACGCTCTCAAGGGAGGAAGTTAGAGAGCAGAAGTAATTTATACGCTTGAGAACAATGCTGTTCATCAGTCACACATTCTGGCTGGCGGGAGGCATCAGGCATGGGACATTTTGAAGTAGCTCAGAAAACTGCTTCGGTAGCAGTAGGGACAAGTATGAACCTCATTCTTCTTTTTCTATCAATCAGGTTACTAACTACTCAATGCGGGGATCTGAGATGTCAAAGTAATTGTTGGATGGCGCAAAAATAAAAGCTCATAGGTCTTTTATGAGTTTTTCATAGGCTTGTGTGAACCAACAAATAAATAATCTTTCTTTTATTGTCAGGCAACAATAAGTACAATCTCCGTTTTGGCGAAGCTCGCCTTTCTCATGATAAAGAATAAGCAGGGCAGCAGGGGCCAAAAAACTTTTTTTGGGAAGTCCGACTTTGAACGCTAAAAATCAAATTATTGAGTTGTATAATGTCTCTCATGTTCTATCCCAATATCGCGTCAGAGTGAGCACGAAAAATTGAATGGTGTACCGACAGACCAAAGAGCTCTATTAAATGATTCTTGCATCTCCGCGCCAAGTTTTATTTGGGTGATGTTTCGAGCCAAGTTTTAAAATGCATAAAGGTCTAAAAAGCGAAAAAACGCAAATCCGTCCAAGATTTTGGCAGCCCCCAACTTGCTCACGCACACACTCTCTACGTTAGACACTCGTATGCAGACTTTTGTGACTTCTGCATCACTAGAACGAGAAACCGAAATCACTTTCGTCACTTTGGAAGTATAATCATGCAGTTTCAGCTTTCTATTAGGTTGAACCAAAAGTTCTGTCTCATCATTTTCAAAAAATAGTAACTTCTTTCTATCACGATATTTCCATATCTTAACTTTTATTGAAAATAGCAAATTATTCACTTTCTAGCAAGGCTTTGGTTGCTATCTACTAATCTCTGGTTGCAGAGATAAAATTGGGAAAACGAAACAACTTCGGAATTTTGAGGCAAGCCCCGTCAAAAATGCCAAAACTGTGCCTTACTCAAGACAGGCAGTAAACCAGGTTTTTTGATCTCCTTTTTTTAGCTGAGCAAAACTCGCATTGAACATTAGCTCTTCTTTAAAAAGTTATGGTTTTCGAGAAAAATGCCAAAAAAATAGTTTCTCAAGAAAATTGATTTTATGACATTTTTTCTCAAAAATCATAAGTTTTCAAAGAACAGCTTAATCAGCGCTAGTTTTACTCCACTAAAAAGAGGAGTTCAGATAATCTAGGTAACAGCCTGTTTTGAATTTTATGGTTAGCTTTAGAATCTTTTACGGACTTGCCTCAAAATTCCGAAATTGAAGTGACTTCATTTTCCCAATTTCATCTCCGCAACCAAAGTCTAGTAGAGAGCAAGCAAGGTGCCCTTCGAAAATATTCGCTTTGCTCTTTCTAATATTATTTTTTTGTGCAAGATTTTTGTAAGAGAAAGAGTTTACGACTTTTTAAACATGGTGCGAACGAATTTCGCTTCAACCTAATACAAAAGTAAGTTTTGAAAAATAAACTTTATTGCAAAAGAACCAAAAACGCGATAAACTCGTTCTTTTGGCCTACCTATTTTTATTAGTCGGATTCAAGCCATGCAAGAATTGCACAAGCTGTACATCTAAATGTCTGATGTGGAGAGTACTTGCACAGCAAATCTGAGGTGCGTAGGAATTCTATGGACACAAAAATTCTTTATTTTGGCTTCAGGATCCATGTGGATCGAAGTTTGCGCAGATGTCTGAATGCCATTCTATAGAGCTTGCTTTGCTCTATCAAATGATATTCCATTGTTTTTCGTATTTACTCTGCGGGAGAAAGCAAAGCACATTATGTCCCGGACAACCTAATATATCAGCTTTTCCTCAAAAATGATGAGTTCGTTTGAAAGAGCATGATCAGCTCTCCTCAACGATTTATAATATATGCAGTTCTTCCGGCAAATCAAACGCTCCGAAAAATACTGAAAACTACAAAAATGTATGAAACGACCTAATCAAGAGTATGACCTCAGAACAGCCTCTCGCTGTGAAAATCTACAACTGCGACTCCATCTTGACAAGCAACTATCACGAATATTTTGATTTATAATACACTAGGGCTTCTTTCACAATCACTAGACTTGAAATAAGCGAGTTGAAGTAACAAAAACTAGTTTTCGGCTTTATGCACACTTTGTTAGTGAAGAGAAACAAATTGTCAAAGAATGAAGCCGAATAATATGCGTAAATGATTATGAAGGTTATTACTTGGGTGTTGTTATCACGGGTTTGTGAAATCAATTCCATATTTTTCCGCAACACAAGATGCTCAGTATTCACACTGACAAATCAGTTTGTTCATCCTTCATGAGTTTTGCAGCATGCTCTACTCGGTTTATCAAAAAACCATTATAATACAAAGAAGGAAGTAGACTCCGATTTGCGTCATATGATTGAGGACTGATTTGTGCTAATTAATACAATCTTGGCAGCCTAATGTTCGATATTAGGTTAAGAATCACTTTTTGCCTATACGATTGATAAACAATTTGGTCGACAAGAATTTTAATGGGTGTTAGGCAAAAAAATCTTCGTCTGCTTTTCATCATCTTCAAGTGTTTCGTTATAGCCGATCTCTGTTAGTGAGATAGTCTTTCGTCCACAGTTTATTAGTCAATAAGGCACTGATTGCAAGTCTTGATTGGAGTATCCGACTCAGAGTTGAGCCTGCTCTGCCGTATTAATAGGAGTATGATGCATTATATCACGACATCCCCGTAGAGCTTTTGTTTTTCAGCTTTACACTTCTCCAACTAACGAATTCATATCCGGCGCAGTCAAGCCCCATCAACTTACTCTCAAACTTTGCTTAGAGCTTTACATTGATCATGTCAAAGCCTTATTGCAGAATATGTCTTGCATGGACTTCAAACCTCTCATCGCCAGCAATGGCTTTTTGATGGTCATATCTTCTCAAGGCATTGCGGCAGCATGCTCTGCTGTCATATCGGTCATAGCTGCTAGAAGATGCATGAATCTGCATTTTCATGTGAATTGCAGGGTAAGTTCTATTGAGATTAAATACTTTTACTTGAGACCTACGAATAAAGACGGTTTTGGTGCCTGCGCGTGTAGAATGTCTTAAAAAATGCAGTGTTGATTCCATCTGTCTTGTTCTCATATCTTTCCCTGCCATTATCTTGTAGAGCTTGGTTACATTCTAAATTCACACATCAGCGAATCACCGATCGGTTTTCTTTACCGTAGGATGACAATAGGAATTTTCAGTATATAGCGCTTCCCTAAAATATTCGCTTTGAAGAAAATTCTTTAACAAAAATCTGGGAGGTTGTGCAGCAGGATCTTTGCATATCTATGCTGTTCACTACATAACCTCTCAAGAGCTTAGGGTTCTAATGGTGTAGTTGTCGAGCTATAAGAAATAAGCTTCTGTTTTGACTGTGAACGGATATCCTCTTGTTCACTGAATTAGATTACATTTCGACAAGCATCTCCCCATATTTTGAATACTTGCATGTCTTTGGTATATGTTTGATCTCAATGAAAAAGTCAAAAATTTGACTAAATCTTCGTGAATAAAAATAGCAGTTGTGCGTCCTGTAAGCAAAGTTGAAACGGACTTTTTTCTTTGATTAACGCCTGGATTTCGGTGAATGTTGCGTTGTAGTAAGCGAAGACTGTCCCAATTTACTCCAAAGGCTCCGACACAAAGAAATTAGTTTGGGAAGTGGAGATGTGTGTTGCATAAAGGTAAAAAAGTGGCATGGTGACGCAGTAAGACGACATTTTATGGCAAGAAAGACGGCTTAGTAGAAAGCCATACAATCCCTTTAAAAAAATTTCTATTATAACAAAGATCTATTCTACACATACATTACCTCAGCTGTATGCGAAATCAGTTATATTTACAGTGATTTCAGATTCTAATAATCTCACTGCTACTTTTTTACTTCGCGCATTCGCTATGTGTGGCCACGCTGCAGGTAAGCGCCATTGCTTTATTATTTTTTGAACTTGAGAAAACACAAAGCCAAGCCATTAAAAAAGAGCTTGTTATATCGCGCTTTTCTAATCACTTTCGAGCTTTTTTGGCTCCTCCTGCAGTTTTATGTAGTCCTTACCTTCATCAAGTATTAACAGATCTTGTGGATCACTATTGTTTTTTAATTGTCCACTATAGCAAAATAAACAACTCCATAAAATTTTCAAAATTGCAGACTATACAAGTTGCGCGTTACGTGATGTATGCAAATCCATGTGATGCTGCCATTTCATCAGCTCTCTGCTTTGGTCTTCGTTTTCCGGCAGCAATTTGTGTCACTTCAACTGCAGTTCTTCAGGTGAAATTTGCTTCATTTCAAGTACTTACTTTACGAAATTTATTCTCTGTAAGTTCTCTGCTGAAATTACTTGGCAGTTGTATCACATACTTGGCAGTCTGTATCACATTTCCGTGGACCTAACCAAACAATGACTATTCCAGGTCGGCTTAGCTGTTGAACGTGCCATAGCATTGTCAAAGAGGCATCACTATGAGACTTCAAGTTCGATGACGGGATTTACTATAACTGGAAGCTGTGTAAGTCAGATTAGTCCATTTTCTGCATGCTTTCTGTCTTATGACTCGCCACTCAAGTTCAACGCACAATGCAATAGACTAAAGATTTGATTCGTCGCGATGCTTATCCCATCTGAAATATGAACTCGAAAGAAAACGCTACGGCTAGAGATCGTAACATTTAATTTCACCTGAGCTATGCGTTTTTTCTGCACCAAAAAAACATTCATAAGTCGGCATGCAGAGGCGCTTGGCAGATAGTGAAATCAGGTCCCAAATCAGCGTTTGATACTCTTCAAAGTGATGATATAGAACTCAACAGGAAAAGCGTTTTCGACTAATCGGCTCCCTTGTAAGTACCATTGTATTCCTACCAATTGTTTCGGACCTGATAGACAAAATAACAAGAAAATAACAAAAAGCCGTTTTTGACCTTCTGGAACAGTGCAATGTCATCGATGAACGTTCTAACTTGCTTCACAAAATAGCTTTGCAGATAGCTATGTATAAAATCATTTTGAGGCATTAATTTACATGTACATTTTATGTGGAAAGCCATGATGACCTCGGATACTTCCCTTGTGAGGGGATGGTAATGAAATAATCTCCTTCAACTTCACCTTTCATAAGGTGCATATTATTTCTATGATGCAGCAACAGTTAATCAATATCAAAGTTGTGCACATTTTAGAGTCAAGCCCGCAAATGGAAATAATCTTACGATTGATCTTTTTTTAGATGATTGTTGGAACCGCAGTTTCCATTTGGTCACTGATGCAGATGAACCTGCACACGAAAGTTGCGTACTGTTCAGTTGGCACAATCGACACAGCGTTCAGAATAAGAATCTCTTCTTTTATTCTTTGTGGGGTGGACTTCTTCGCTTTGATGTCTACTATTCTGGTGATTTACTTCAACGAGCTCGCTTTTAAGCGGTACGATCCATTGCAAAATTTCCCCACCACAATCGAATTGCTCATTATAGAAAGTACTTTGATCTACAGTCCTCATACCAACTCCAGGAGAATATCGATGTTATCCGCCTGGTCTTACCTTTGACATTGTTTCAAGCCATCTGCCACTCGATATTTATTACCAGTACGGCTGTTCTCACAACGTTCGAAGATAGCCTTTCGCTAGTAACATATCGAACATTATTTGCAGCTGTTTATGTGAGTACTAGAGACGTTTTTAAAAATAACATGGAAAAAGTTCGTTGATCCAGATTGTGCCATATTACACCATGATTGCGCCTCTGATACTGTTGCTGCTGCTCAGATGGTCATCCAAGAAAAGAGCGATGAAGCTTCTCACACTCACGAGACCTGTAAATGAGCTAGACGTCTATTTCACAGCTTATTCGAAGATGTGGTTGTACAATATTGCGGAAAGACACTAACATTGTATTGATTCTTCCCCTTTATTTCTTCCATTCTCTCGAGTGTTCAGACGAATCTAACCTTTGGTTATTAAAAATTTTTATACGTCATTCGAACAAGGCTGGTTCAAAAAATAAACTATTTGAAGTTTTCCAAGTGTGACCTCTAGCATAGTGTGGCCGTCGATTGCAACGATCAGTAAATGTTTCGCCCTTGTTGACTTTAATGTCAAGATTCGGCACGAGGATTGCAAATGAACACCTGGGAAACGAATTTGTCTTTGACACTTCGTACTTTATTTGCCATCTGTTCTCTTCAAAAGGTTCAATTGAAGCGCCCTTTCCTGCTAAATCGGTTTTTGGCAAAAGATAGGAGGAGTGTCAAAATAAAATCTTACTTGGTAGTAAACATCAGAAAAAAAGTTTGAAAAATTAGGAAAAGTCTAAAAGTAGACACTATTATTTCTTACGGCGATAAGTCATACTACTTTTTCAGTAGGGGTCCACGATACCATTCGATAGAGCAAAGCAATCTCTACAAGATGGTTGGCAAAATACGCACCAACTTCGCCCACTGTTAGTTTGCATCCAAAATCTGAGTCGTACTGAAGGCTCATTGCGAATAATTCATACTTCTCTTCAAAAAAAAAATCCCACGAGTCTCCAACTCGCTCATAAAAATTGCACACTACACACTCATATGTATCGTTTCTGAATTTCCTCCTCGGTTATCCTGGGCCCATGTGGAAAAAGTGAACTGCAGGACTTAAAAAGGAGAGTGTGTCAAAACTTATGTTACAACCCCTAATATAAAAACTATATACTTTGCTCTTATTCTCCAAAAACACGGATTTGAAGTCATATCGTTACCTGCCTGTGGATTTGAACAAAGCGTTTTCAGGGCTCGGCACGAGTTGGCTAGTTGAAAATGCAAAAAACGAAGTCCCCTTTGACTTTTGCGAATTTTTACGAAGTCCCCTTTGACCCTAGACAAGGGCTCGGCACGAGGTGGCGTCCCACTGCAAAAAATGAAGTCCCCTATGACTTCAACGAAATTACGACATCCGCCACGAGATATCCGAAGAGAAAATACCATAAGAACGGAATAAAGCAACAGCAGAAAAAAAAACGAAAAAGAATCATCGAACACACGCGATGCTATTCATATTCTCCGGATTGGCGGCATGATGTATCCATCGTGCAGCAATACGCGCCTAAAGCAGCCTTTCCGCCGCCGCTCAAAATTTTCAAGGGGCTATAACTAAGCGGGGAGAAGGGGGTTTGAGGCGGTTTAAGAACCAGTTTGTAGGGTTTGGGATGTAGATGAAAATTATGTAAAGAAAGTAGAAAAATTATGTGAGGGAGAAAAAATTTATGACTTTTTCTTTTCTAAGCCACCTCAGGTGGCTATCCAGGTGGCTTGAAAGCCACCTAACTCCGAAAAAAGTTGAGCATGCCTTCACATAATTTTTTCATAATTTTTCATACTTAGTCCTAACTCCCCATTGCCCATCTACACACCTATTTTGGTGTCATTTCATCTTCACTTCGCTGTAAACAAACCTTTTGTTTGTTTGCCGGCGGCATGCCGGCAGCGTGGCGGCCGCAGATCAAAAGACAACGCTATGCTCTTCCGCAAAAACGATATCCCCTTTGTTTTTTCCCCAGAAACGATATCCAGCTTGCTTGCTAAGCCACCTGTGCCGTGCCCTGAGCGTTTTTCCTCTTTGCAGTGTCACACGCAATTTCAGGCTTCCATACCCTCACATAGTTTTCTCACAGTTTATTATGTTCCGTGATACTTTCCCGTGCTCCAGAACCATTTTTCCAAGGAGCTCACATAAAGTCGTGGTTTTAGCTAAAAAAAATTTTCATGGATTCTCTGAGAACTGTCTATCCCCCTGTATTAGGATCGGCATGTTTTTACTTTTGAAGTCATTTCCGGTGAGATACCTAACATTAGAGTTGAATCAGAAGCAGTTCAGCTGTTTTCATAGAGCAGTGTTCAAAAGATTATCAAAATATCGACGTATCGACTTGAATAGGGGTTTTAGTCAGTTTCATTATTCCCGTACCTGCTGGCACTCAAACATAAATAGGTACATTCTTTTCATTCTTGAATTTGGCAGGATTTCTAGTTGCAGAGGCCAGTTACTGACACATTTTCATTTGCCCTGGTTAAGAGTTCCGTTCTTTAACGTGTATGCGTATACCACATCGCTTTTTTTCATCTTCAGCAAACACTAACACAGTGTTTGAACCATCAGTGCTTTATATCTCTTTCTCGATCCTAGGAAGCTGATGTTATATTTGTTTGTATTTCTTTGAAATCCTTTTTCCGCTGCACCCTGTGTATAATACTGAAAATCAAATAAACAAATATCTTGATCGCTTTCTGAAAAAAATTAAAGTACTTCCCTTTTTGAGCTGTTTTTACCATGCACTAGGAAAAAATCCAAATGATAGCTCAAAGTACCACGATGCCGCCTGATTCGCCACTCAGATGATGGAACCCTAGCGCAGTCCTCTATCCTGGGCAAACCTACTAAGTTTATCAAACAAGATAACATGGTTATAAAGGTCATTTTTGAATTGAGTTGGAAATGGGTTATTTAATTAAGGAACTAAGTGAAACACGCTGATCCGTCTGCCCAGAGCCGCACTGGCGTGGTCCTTTTTTCTCATGCATTCGCCGCTTTGTTCTCATATTTTTTCAAGTGATGAATTGTCTTTGGTGGACGCAACAGCGTTACATTCCGCGCAAAAAGCGAACGGCATGGCAGACATGACATGTTGACCTTTTACGCTGGCAGGAGGGATGACAGCTTTTCCTGTGAAGTTGGGATCCAGTTAACAAAAAACTACACGTTCGTTGCCCTGATTGTTTATACCGAATTTGGTATAATATTGTTGTCTGCGCGCTGTAAATGAGTTGATTGTGAACTACTAAATGCTGAATTTGCTATGAACCGCGCATTTGTAATATTGTGTTGGGCACGTCAATCGTGAAAGGTTTACATATGTCCATTTTAGGAATTGCGATATCCCTTTGCTCTCTAACGCTATGACAAATTCCAGCCTGACATGTCGCCCTCAAGCGGAGGCCTGTCTATCGCTAATCATGAGCACACAGCATGTTAACAGGAGTTGTGAATCAAATTTATTCAAAATTGGCGCAAAGAAATTGTTTGTTGGCTATAGTTTTGTGACTATGAAGCAATCAAATTATGGACTGGATGCTGACGTTGTCGCTGCCATTGAAGCCAGGGAAACAGGAGACAAAGGTGGCAAGCGAAGCGTAAATTTATTCCAAATCAGTAAAACTATGTTCTGTTGACTGTTGACTGCATCTACTTATGCATTATGATCTATCAGTAGACAAACCATAAGGCGGTGAGCTGAACGTAAAAGTGCGCCTAACTGGATTAGCTAAGCTGACAGTGCTGCTCTTGAAACTTTAAATGCAGAGTTATTCGATGTTATTCAAGGTCGCTACTTGTTTACACTTACATGGATGCTTTTAAAAGACTGTTTTTCAAATATCATCCGCAATGAGAAAGGCAAGAACTGCAAGGCGAGGCAAAACCTGTTTGGAAGCAATTTTCTAGGTGTAAGTGGTCGCATCCTTCAGTATTCCGACAATATCAGTTTTACTTGAACTAAGGCTGTCAAAAAACAAGCAGTGGTATAATAAACCAAAATGTATTGCTATTATGTTAGTTGTGCACTATACCGTGTAGACGGATCATATTGTAATCAACTGAGATAATGAGCAAGAAAAGTTGCTACCGTTATTTCCCCTTAGCTTTAACCGCCGTCGAGACAGAGGCAGACCGTCGAGGTAATTGCTTCAAAATTGACAATTATCAATGATGTTAGGCGGTGTAATGCCTATGTAAGACTTCCTTGCACAAGAGTCTGTACAAGCCTCTGTTAGAGGCGATTTCTTAGATATGTTTTACTCTGCATAGCTGGCATACCCGGTTCCTCCAGGCCCTGTCAACACAGTATAAGAAAGGTCCATCTTTGCTTCTGTAACAACATTCTACTGCCCCTGTCCCACTTTTATATGCCACTTTCCCGCCCCCTCACTATGTTTTCGTTATAGCTTGCTCACTTATCCCTCTGTACCAGCTCCCAGTTCCTCATCCAAGCTTTGTAAAAATCGATGAAAGCCATAATTGCGGGATTTTTCTCAGATTACTACTTTCAACGTATTTACCCCTCGGCCGATTTACAACCCTGTAGCACGAAACTGCGAAAAATGGATAAAAACGATACCGATTGGTAGCAAAAAGCCTGCCCGCCCGAAGCATATGCGTGCAAAGTTTGGTACAGTTCGATAAATAGAGAAAGTATGACATACGTACAAACATAGATATCTACACATATACATGCACAAAGACGTAAAGACATACAAAAAGGCATTTAGTTTCATATGTTAAAGTCAGTGAGTTCTCGTGATCCTCAACAAGGTAATATAGCCAACTAGTACATATTATGTTGAACCGATAGTTCGTTTGCACTACAGGGTGTCCCAAAAAGATGTGCACACTGTTTGATCGTTAATAACTCCCTTGATTTCATGTCTTTCGCCAAGCTTGAGGTACCATTCGTTAGAGCGAGGTTAAACTTAGATTTACAGTATGGAGCGATTTATCAGCCGCTCTTCATTACTGTAGGACGGTAGCAACTTTGAGGAGGATTTTGAGCCATTAAAAGCGGTTTTTTGCCCCAGAAAAAAAAGCCAAACAAGCCAGAAACTCTTGAATTGGGTTAATCGAAGCTGCTGATTTTAAATATGAAAATGGCACGTCAGGACAGTGCTTCTTTCATGAGTTATTTCAGATCTAGTGTAATAACTGTCCCAATATTCGTCGGAAATGTGTACACGCCATCAAGAAAGCTCGAAAAACTGGTGGAAAGTTATGTAGTTTAATCAGCTTGCCTGAAAACCTTGCTACACAAATTTTCAGATTTTTTTTGAAATTATTCAATCAAAAGGCCTATCCTACAGTGAC